AGGATCCACAGATATGAGGCTGCTGGCTGATGATAGGCACGGGACAGAACAACAAGGCAGACACAGAGAATTTTGAATACACACACAGACCTACACACAGCGCTACACGCCAAGGCTACAGCTCTTATGCAGAGCCATGTCAAGGTCTGCCTTGCTGCTGTGCCTGGAAAAAGCAGCCTATGCAGTGCATAAACTGTAGAGAAAGAAGTTGCTCACTTCTGTCATTGTAAGTCAAAGTAACATCCATTGCTTCAGATCATTTTACTCTTTACTAAATTTCTTATCTGTCTTACAAAATATATACTGATAATCCACATTTTTTATTTAATGTGACAAAGTTTATTCATAGGTGACAGTTTTTGCTACTAGGCAAAATAAGCCTGATAACTTTGTTCATGTTTACGACACATATGAGTCCCATGCTTATATAAAGAGGGAGCAGGAAATGTGATTGTGGTTTGCATCTTTCAAATTTTGATTGTTGACCAAATTTTCATTATTCTGGGGAATTTTAGACCTTAGCGCAAAACTAGAAACAAATAACAATAATGACCATAAACAAAGACCACCATTGCCTACCATGGTGGTCTTTTAGTGTGACCTCTAAAAGACCCCTTGAAGGGCCATGTGGTATTTGGCACCAAGATGTTAGCAGCAGTTCCCAGTAACAGATCAGCATAGAATGCAGTTTTTCTACATTGTGTACAGTGTGCTTATTAATTTCCCGTTTTTTTTTTTCTCTCTTCCTTTAAAAGTGGACGATTTCAACATCTACACAGCTACAGGGTTAAATAGATTAGTAGGTAGAGTAAGAAGCCAAACCTGGATATCAGGTCCAGCAGATACACGCGAGTATCTGAAGCCGTTTAGCAAACATGACTTAACAGCTGTGTTATGCACTCGTATCTGAGGCACTTCGTTTCACCACATCTATCTATTGTTGCACTGTATATCAAAGACTATTTAATATTAGACTTAATTAATTCCATGTCTAATATTTACTTGGAAAGTAACCTTAAATCTTCTAATCTCAGTTTAAATCAAACTCTTAACAGGATAAGCAATCCTTTCCGCAAGCATGGTTGGCCTTTTTCGTACATTTTACTTTTTGTTTGGTCTGTAGAAAAAACGCACCCACATGGACATAAATACCAGGTTTCCCACTTCCTCCTTATTCTTTTGCAAACAATGCATAGCGGGAATAACCAAATGACGCTGCTATCAGGCATCTGAAAGCAAACGAGAAGTCACGCTGACTTTATTGCCGTCAAATAATATTCTGCACCAGAGTTGACACATACCAACAGAAGCTTACATTACTATACCCCTCGTGTAGAGCACAGTGATTTAGAGTTTTACCTGCAATCCCGGAATACGCGGCAGATACTGTACAATAACTGTTATGAGTTACTGCCCTTGACAACAAGTTCACTGCCTTTCATGTTGGTGCATAAATCAGGGAAATAGGAGGATGAGCTCCTTCTGTATACATGTAAACAAGGCATTTGGGAGCACCTTGAAGTCTGGTCTCACAGTGGAAACACGACATGACTGAAAGCACGCATACAGTGCTCCTGTTTCCCATGAAAACTTGCTTAGATACATAAAAAGGCACAACACATGTATACAGCTGCGGGGGGAGGGGGATTCAATAAGCATAAAAAGTTCCCTTAAATTCCATTTTAAAAAAGTTTTTCAAACACAAGCGGTGCATCACAGTCGAAAAATAACTGGAAGGACTTTTCAAGGTTTTCTGGTCTCCTCAGGAGCCTTTTTAGGGGGGTCGACTACACTTGTAAGCATATTCAGTCAGTGTGCACTAATAGCAACGAGTCTATTTCCTCATTTAAGAGAAATCCATGTGCTTTGCTTTTTTTTATCTGATGAACAAAAATACCTGTCACGTTTGAGTCAGTGGAACCCTAATTAACACAACTGAGAATAATAATCATTGCAGCTCGTGCAATTTTTCTCTGCAAACAAGTCTTAAAACCTATCATGACAGCCTTTTCACAAACACGAGCTTCCTCCTGTATTAATATAGATAAATTATTCATCTCATGGCATTTATGCACTTTTTTAGTTCTTCAGTAAGTTTGTCCCCTTTGTCCCCAGGTGTGTACCTGGATCTATTCCACTGGGTTATCTAACTCAGCTCTGATTGGGCCTAAATGAGAATAAACAAATTGTAAATGTTGTGGATCATAAACACTTGAGCGAGTTTACCTCTCTCTGCATGGCTGTTTTCAGTGAATTAACTCGCAATGCCCGTGCGAAGGCTGAATTTACTGGTACTCAGTATAGTTTGTGGATCCTCTGACTTTTCTACACGTAGCAAATATTCTCTTATAGAAAAACCAAAACAAATATAGACACACAGCATTGCATGCTGGTGTGAGATCCAGCAAATGTGGCAAGATTTAGACTTCTTCGAACAGCAGCAACACACAGCAGGTCTGCCAGAGAAACCACTTAGTGTGAGACGTACTCTTTCTCACACATACACACACATGCACCGAGACATACACACGCCATGGCAGTGCTGTCAGTGAGTCAGTGTGTGAGTCACACTTCGGCTATGCTGCCTCTTGATTTTATAGCAGCCGCCAGCACGGCACTGTATTTAATATTCTAAACAACTGTACTGTAGGGCTGTGCAGCACACATTTGTGTGTATTTACATGCACTTCTATAGATGCTCGCACACACACGAGACACAGACATGTAAATTACCTCCTCTATTAAAATATTGCGACACAATTGAGATCTCGGAGCTATGTTGGCACATACACAAATAAAGCACTCACTTTTGTGGCTTTTGCACTTCAAATACACTCGAGCACTGACAGAGCGAGGCACACTCATCACTGGGGATGACTGCAGATGAGTCAGAAGGAGAGAGGAGGGAATCCTTAGCTCTTTGTGCGCTTGATCTATAGGAGACACAGCCCTAGACTTCTGCGCCATAAATACTGACTCTATTAGATTTGACCCATGAATCTTTCCCCTATACGCTGTGTACATTTGCACATTCCTGAACGTGCGAAGCTTCAGGAAAAGGAAAATTCAGAAAGGGTTGCAGCTCTGCTGTCAAACTGTGTTAGCCTCCTGAGGTGAAAAAGTGAATTCCCACCTGTTTTGTGGTTGTTTTTAATGTCGGTGCATGCTAGAAAGACTAAATCACATTACGTATAAATGCACTGGTAGACTCCATCGAGGATCGGCCTTTTATTATTTTTTGCAAAACCTGTTAATCCCAAACAAGGTAGAGGCCAGAATGATTGAGTCATTGACAGTGTTGGGACACGGTTAAGTAATACATGCTGTAAAATGTTGTATGAATGCTAAAAGCTAGGCTTTGCAGGCTAAGAAATGCATATGTGATGCCTGAAGCTAAATCCATACACCACAGCTACCCACAAGCTTAAAAAGAACACAGTGTCTCCATATCAGTTTTCTGAGGTGAACAGCGCAGGTAACAAAACTTTTAAACATCACCCTCTAGTGGTGTTTAGGAGTGGCTCAGCTTTTTCAAAAATTGGAAGAAGCAGGATCTTTTCAATAATTTTTTTCTTTGATTGATCATTTTTTTGTGCACACTGAAAGAATGAAATTAATGTTGAGTATGGCAAACATCTGATGAATGTGTAACAATTTGATGCTGAAACAAGAAATACCTGTGGGAAGGTTTCTGGGAACTTTGACATGAAGCTCAAACGAAAGACGCAGAATGTGAAAGTAACTGCAATGAGCCGTGCAGCAATTGACATGTGATGTGGGTGTTAAATTTGATAGCTGTGGCTCGGTGCTGAGGGGCAATGAGTCAGAGTCAATAAGGACCAGGAGGTGTGACTGACCTCTTTCAACTGTCCTTCTTTCACCCCACAGCCCTCCTCCTTTCTCTTTGCATCTTGTTGTTTGAATTGCTCGCCGTGTTTGTTATTCAACCTTTGTTTTAAGATAGTGACTCATAACCAACTCTTGCCTACTTGTGTACCTTTGACTCTAGACCGAAAATGGCCAGACCCTGTTTTTCCGCTTAAAGCGCATGACTCTTCATGTTCCTTTCAGGCTCTTTTCTCGCACAAATCCTTGTCCCTTCTTATGCTGCGATCAGGGAGTGGAGCCTTTAGGTTTATCTGCGATTGGAAAAGCTTTCTGACTCACTCCCTCACACAAACACACATTTTATAGACGATGACTCATTGCAACGCAGGCCATTCAGATCCACAGTACACCAAAGTTGAACTGGTACGTGAGTGCGTTGTTAGTGTGGCCATGTTTGCAATGCCACACACATTAACCTTTATATGCATTAGGGTGCTGTTACGCGGAGAGCTCATGACACGCCACCTACGCAGCTTTTATCTCCGTCGCCGAGAAAATAAGTGTTGCTGTTGCTTTTGGTCGCCCTTGTACTTATTAAAAAAAAAAGAAAGTGTCAAAGTGTGCACATATCATGTGTGTTGAACAGATAATGGTACAGATGTACGATATGTGTTTGTGTGCATAAAACCAAAGGCAGAAAAGAATTCATCATGACACTGGCAGATGAGGAACATAAAATGTGTTGAGTGACTCATGCAGGATGGCCATCAGCCGACACAGTGGCAGACAACACATAATGTAACCCACATGCACATAATTGGCTTCATGAAGTGCCATATACAGAGAGGCACATCTCAAATTACACATAATGCACATACACCGAGGTTTTTTTTCTTCAGATGAACACAGACAGTGCAGTGCAGTGCAAAATGTTCCCGAACTCATTTGTACCATTTTTGCATGTCTGTGGAAGAGATGAGTCACTTTTAACTGCAGTCGTCACGTAACTACTGTCACTTAGACTGATTCACTCGCCAAACAATTTCTAAAATAACAATCAACCTCTCTGTCGACATTTTTATGCAGAGGGAGTGAGGGTACGCTTATTATAGAAAAACTGATTCACCGAAACAATGCAAAGCATAAAAATATATTTTTATTCTTAAATGCAAGCGACCAATAATGCACATTTTATTCTGTGTTATATAAAAGTCTAGCTAAGACAACAGGAGCCTGGATTACAAATTGTAGATCTTTTAGAAAGCATCACGGCGCTGCAACACTACCACTGCAATACTGCTCAGAGCAGATGTGTGATGTGGTTTTGGCAATGAGGCTGCTTTTCATTTATAAATTGCCTTTTGATCTTTCTGTTATCATAAAATCATAACCAAACAATTTGAGTATTTAATTTTCATCATCTGTGTCGTCTTCATCCTCGTCAACATCCTCTTCAGATTCATCTTCATCCTCCTCTTCCTCCTCCTCCTCTTTTCTCGTGTGACGACTACCAGCTCTTTGTTGCTGTGACAACAAATAAACAGTCAATGCAACTAAAACGCTTGGCAGGTAATCATTAAGCTCAACTTCCAAGGAATCGTTTTTTTTGTTTTGTTTCTTCAGTCGCGGTTATTAGTAGAAACAATGAAGGGTAGGTGTAAACACACCGCAAAGTGCGCTGAGACCACATTCCTCACATTAACTTCTCATGAGGGTTGACTTATGTATTTATACAGCACTGTGTAAGTTTTGGGTTACCCATTATTTCTTTGTAATTTGCTTACATAGATGAAACATAAGCAAACATAGATATATGTACACACACATTTCCATATATGTGCAAATGTACGATTGTTTTTAAACGTGCCAACACTTCCCTGTGTCTTTACTTTTTACATAAATCAAAAACAGAATTTGTACAGTTTTAACAAGCTTGAAAGTCAATATCTGGCATCTTTATTCAAACTTTTTTGTAATGCCTTTAAGTAGTTTTCAGGAATAGTTCTTCAGGCTTCTTGAAGGACATTCAAAGCTCTTTTCTTCATGTTGGATGCCTTTAAAAAAAAATCCACATTGCACTGCAAATGAGTGAAAAAGTAGCCAATGTCCAAATAAAAAACACAGAGAAACCATAAAGCCTGGAGAACTACTGCTCAAGACCACTGTAAAAATTATAAGAAAGTCTGGCTCCAGGAAGCAAAAGTACCTTCCTTATTGTGTGAACGGTATTCATGTAAGAATGAGGACACTTTCTCCATGTGCACTAACATGCTCTACTTTCAACTTTCCATTCTGGCTTCATCCTTAATGCAAACAGGGTCATAAATCCTCTCTTTTTCCTGACTGCAAATGTCGTTTCTGTTTAGCAGTGATTGCAATTTCTCTCAGATAAAAATCAAACCTAATCAGCGAAGCCAAAGTATGATCTCAAGATGTGACGCAACACATATCTGAGGCATATTCTAGTGACAGCTGCGTACAGCAATCTGTATCTGCAAGTTCCAATATGGGCATCTGTAGATACTGTAGAGTCTACAGTGTAGACACTACAT